TACACGGCAGTTAGCCGTGGCGTGGCCGTGAGGACCGGCCACTGCCTAGATGTGACACCCTTACGCGGCAGTTAGCCGTGGCGTGGCCGTGAGGACCGGCCACTGCCTAGATGCGACACCCCTACACGGCAGTGAGCCGTGGCGTGGCCGTGAGGACCGGCCACTGCCTAGATGCGCACGCCAGGGCTTTAATATTCTGCAAGCAGGAGAGCAGGGCCCTCAGAGCCATGCCTCCGAGGGCCGGGCCCATGTTCTCCGCATGCCCCAGACGCAGCTTCGGCTCTTGGAGCCAGTTTAAGCACAAGTAGAAGTAAATTCCTTACCTTGTAATATACCTGGGTTGTTTGGTTTTTTAATAGAATTTGTCCCTGATTATAAAAATTACACGTAGGGAACTTAGAAGATAAGGTGTCAAAGAAGAAAGTACAAGTCTTTCCTACTCACCACGCAGAAACGATGATATTAACACGTCGGGACATGCTGCCCACACTAGGAGAGGCCGCATCTAAAATGGCCTATATGGCTCTTTTTTTTTTTTTTTTTTTTTTTTGCGGTACGCGGGCCTCTCACTGTTACTGCCTCTCCCGTTGTGGAGCACAGGCTCCGGATGTGCAGGCTCAGCGGCCATGGCTCACGGGCCCAGCCGCTCCGCAGCATGTGGGATCTTCCCGGACCGGGGCACGAACCCGTGTCCCCCGCATCAGCAGGCAGACTCTCAACCACTGCGCCACCAGGGGAGCCTCCTGGCTCTTTTTTTTCCCATGTAACATTCTTTCACAAGCCTTCCGCCCGCTATTAGGCAGTCTTTGAAACACCCCATTAGAGCCACGTGGCTGTGACAGCCTTCAGAGCAGACCCTGGGGTTGCTGACTCAGACTCCGCAGGCCGCAGCATCGCCCTGGGTCATGTGAGTTTCTGAAAAGGTTCTCACACAAGCAGAGAGTGTTCCCTTGATTTGCATGGTAGTCGCATTCTTAGAAAATTCAAAGTACACCGAGAAACACTGTGCTCTTTGTAAAAAAACTAGGTTCCAGAATCGGGTGACCATAAACAATTTTTTTACCGACCTGAATGGTGCCTGAGACAGGAGAGCGTACTCTGTGCCTGGAACCATCCCCGGCAGTGAGGGACAGTCGCATCCCTGGTCCCACCCTTCAAGTGCCGGCAGGGCCAATAGTCACTGAGACAGCCAAGAGCATCGAACCACCCACTGGTTTCTAGAATTTCCCCCTGAGGGTGACCCCCACCCAGCTGAGAGCCACTGCGTGAAACGATCTCTAAGGGTCCCCACTTCCACACATGCCACTAATGGGGCTTCTCCTGTGTCCTTCCTTCCAGAAGATGCCTGGTCCACCCGGACGCCACTGCGGCCCCAGTGGCACAGCAAGCAGGAACACACCTTATGTGAATCGTGGAACTCCCTCACCGTCTTTGACCACTCCCACCGGGGTCGCATCTCCAACGTGGAGTTCCAGGGCGACATCCTGGATGAGTTCCTGCAGCAGCAGAAGAGCAGCCGGCCCAGCGACCAGCCGCACCCCTGGAAGGAGGAGAAGCCGGAGCCCATGAAAGGACAGGAGCACGGCTCCCTAGAGGTGGATGACGGGGGTGACTTTAAAATCCCTGTCTTGCCTTATGGACAGCACTTGGTCGTCGATATCAAGTCCACGTGGGGGGACAGGCACTACGTTGGCCTTAACGGGATAGAAATATTCAGTTCCAAGGGAGAGCCGGTTCAAATTGTGAACATTCAAGCCGACCCCCCGGACATCAATATCTTACCGGCCTATGGGAGAGACCCCCGTGTGGTCACCAACCTTATCGACGGGGTGAATAGGACCCAAGACGACATGCATGTCTGGCTGGCCCCCTTCACGCCGGGCAAGTCCCACTCCATCTCCATTGATTTCGTGCAGCCTTGCCAAGTCGCCCTGATCAGGATCTGGAATTACAATAAATCGCGGATACACTCCTTCCGGGGTGTGAAGGACATCACGATGCTGTTAGATACACAGTGCATCTTTAAGGGAGAAATCGCCAAGGCCTCAGGCACCCTGACGGGAGGTACGGTATGTCTGTAAGAATGCTCTCGAAGCCCCTACCTGCTACTCGCTGAGGCTCTGAGGAAAAACTAAACTTAGTGGCTAGCCAGTGACAGACAGGTCTCTCTCCTTTCCAAGAGCTGGCCCGCTCCTCACCTTTTGCTACTGGGTGTGAAAGAGCTGACCCCATTGAAACGCCTCCCCTGGGTACCAGCCTTACTTAGCCTCCTAGGGCCTGAGCCTGATGAGTGCAAGTGAGTTATGGAGGGAGTGCTCTCAGGAGACCCTGTAGGGCAGGGAGGGGTGTAGGATATGGAAGGGTGGGGGGGGAAAGCTAGGCAAGGATATCGTTTCAGGGGAAGCCCAGCCTCAGCCTGATCCCAAGGGGAGCTCTGGAGTGTAAATTGCAGGGTCTGTCCTGCCTTAAGGCAAAGCAGCAGGGCTTTGGAACCCTCAGACTCCCCTGGTTGGGACGTAACTCCCACACCCTTCCAGGAAGGCCCCCTATAAGGATGGCAGAGGATCTGGTTGGGGCAGCAGCAGCAACAGCTACCGTGCCTCACCCGCGCCTGAGAAACATCCCTTATTTCATGACAGACCACAGTGATTCTCATCAGATTAGGTGCCTTCATTAAATCTATGTGGTTCTTATGGTCCGTGAATTCCATTTGCAAATGCGTAAAGAAGAATAAGGCTCAGTTACACAAATCAAGACCTGTTAGTGGTTTGGGACTTTCTAGCCCAAAGATTGATGGGTTTAGGTTCCTGGTCTGCACCTCACTGGGACGTGGGGTGAGCTGACTCTTCTGTCTTCCTGGTACCCCTTTCAGCTCCAGAGCACTTTGGAGACACGATCTTATTCACAATGGATGATGACATTCTTGAGGCCATCTTCTGTTCTGATGAGACGTTTGACTTGGACGTGGAGAGCCTGTGCAGCCTGCGGTGTGAGGAGGCGCTGAGGAGGCCCAGCACGGCCGACGGCCTGGGGGAGGAGAGGCCCTACACCCAGGCTGGCTCCTGGGCTGATGACCGGGTAGGACTGGAGGCCCAGCACAGCCGGCGGCTGGGGGGAGGAGAGGCCCTACACCCAGGCTGGCTCCTGGGCTGATGGCCGGGTAGGACTGGAGGCGGGTGGGCGCCCCAGAGAGACTTCTCCTCCTGACTCAGAGTATACCAGGAGGAATGAAGATGGATCTCCTTTAAGCTGCTGGTACTCCTGTTCTGACATTTCCCATTTTTTCTGCTTCATTTTTGTTCTGTAGGTCATATTTCATTCTCTAATTATTTTTTATTTTTTTTTAAACCAAAGTGAAGAAAGTATTCAAATTTTAATCAAAGCCAGGGGAAATCAGTTCTGTGTCATTTCTGTACTTTAGAGGTTGGCAGTCTCGGGAAGTTTTGCTTTGGGTTGCATTTTGATCACTCACTGTTGTTTTTGATGGAAGGGCTAGAAATGCTTTCAATAGGCGAACTTGAGAATTGAAAGAATGATGATCCTGCCAATCACTTCTTGGGCACATACCAGCGACCAGGTGTGGAGCACCTTGTTGCCGTGCTTGGCCCTCGTGACAGCCCTGGAGTGGAGGTGATTAATATCCCCGTTTAGGAACCAAGGCTCAGGCAGGCTAAGGGCCTTGCCCAAGGGCACATCTTGGGAGCATAACAAGGCTAGAACTTGAATGCAAGACTCCAAAGTCCGTGCTTTTAATGGACAAATTATCAAAAATGAAAGATGACCTTCAGGGCAAGGGTCAGCCCAAGTCAAAGATGAGTAATCAAGGTGAAGAGACACCAGGGTCTCCGGGGATGTTCTTCAGGCCATGGGAGAAAGACGAGACGGTTAAAGAGGGTGGGGGGAAGAGTGGAAAGAACCAGGAACCAGGGACAAAAGGTTCGGACACAAGAAGGTCATGACCAAGGCAGTACAGTGACATGCCCCTGCCCCGCCCACTCAGACAGGCTAGCTCGTTGTTGACGGTTGTCCTGGTCTTTTCAAAGAAAGCCAGAAATCTGGATTGTTACGTAAAAGTCTCCCCATTAAGAAATGTTGGCAACTAATCCATGATGTTTTCAACCCTTCTGCAGGCCACAAAACATGTCCGTAGTCTGGCTTTGCTGCACAGGCCTCCAGCTGGGAGATGGCCTTGAGGCCTTTCATTCCCCCAACATTTTCCAAATGGCAAAGTCCCTGCTCAGGAGCTCTGATAGGATCTAGTCCTGGGAGGGGCAGGGAGGGATCACTCTCTCTGCCTTAGAGATAGGACCTCGAGCTCAGGGAGACCCCGTCAGTGTCACACCCCTAGCAGGTGTCTGGGCTGGAGCCGCCCCACGCCCACCTAGGTGTCCCGGGTCGGGTGCATCCACCAGGGGGCGTGGCAGGAGGCTCAGGGAGGGCAGGGTGCCAGGGAAGGCAGGAGGAAGCACGTGGGTTCCAGGGCAGCAGCTTTCCGGGAGGCCACTCAGTGTCAGGGGTTAACTTCTGGCAGACAACCTTCCTCTCCCTCCTCCCCATAGCCGGGCAGGGGCCTGGAGGGGCTGTCCCTAGGGGCTGGACTGAGGGGTCATCAGGGTGTCACTGGGTACCAAAACATCATCCCCACTAAAAACTCTAAGATCCAGACAAGCGACTTCACCTGTTTTTGCATCTCAGCTTTCCTGTCTGTGAAGTAGTACAGGCACTTCTACCCTGACTTACGGTGCAGAGATCTAATGAAAAGAGTTTACAGTTTACATAGAGACCCAAGAAGCAGGGTGTGGCAGCCCACCGTGTCTGTAGACCAAGGGTTCTTTATCTGCCTGCCCATGGGAATCACAGAGGAGGTTTTAAAAATGCAGACTCACAGGCCCCAGGGTTGAGAACCACTCTCTACGTTTGAATCCTTTCTTCTCCTTCCCTCCATCCCTCCCTCCCGATCTCTCTCCCTCCCCGCTTCCTCTAGTTCACTAGGTAAACTAGATAGGGCCCTTCCCTGTTCCAGAAAATCTAATCACCTGAGCTGGTTAGTGTCAAACTCCTCCCCTACCAGTAAGAACTTCTGGCAAGGACTCAGATGCACTCAGGTTTCTGGGCCTGCCGTATTACCTGTCATGGAGCTCCCACCAGGGCAGAAAACACCAGAAAAGACACCGGGACTTACCTGGGGCACAGAGTGGGCATCTAGCTGGGAAGATGTCCAGTGAGCTGCGTGGGTATCACTAAAATCACCCCCTTTCCCTCTGCTTCTCTCCAACCTGTGTGCAGACCCCTGAACCAGAGCTGCCCCCCAGCCCCCCTGTCCCTGAAGTCACCACGCCAGAGCCGGGCATCTACCAGGGCATCTGTGAGTACCTTCTCTGGGGGCAGTGTCAGGGGAAGGAGGACCTTCACGGGTCGGGGGTGGGGAGGGAGTCATGGCCACTTGGGACGGGGTTTCCCGGGACAGTTGGGCAGGTTGTACCTTGGCACAGAGACACCAGGCCCCAGGATAAGTCAGGGCTGAAACCAGCCTGCATTGGCGACACTGGCCCGGGCAGGGCTGCATCCCTTCAGAAGAGGGGTCCTCCTGGCAGTGTGCCCTCCCAGAGGGGCACTTCTGCATTTCCCACGCAGACGTCTTACGTGTTAGCTGCAGCCCTGACCCGGGAGGCGGCAGTCGGAGCCCAGAAGTTATAGAGCAAGAAGACATAAGAGCCAGAGAGACTTGGGCGTCTGTCAGTCAGGGGTTTGAGTTGCCCCTTCAAACTGGACCACAGAGCAGGTGCTGGAGCAGAGAAAGTCTGCATCCTCCTGGCTCTAGGGGGGGTGGGGCAGCAGGAGTACCGGCGCAGGTGCCAGGTCTTCTGAGAAGTCAGAAATCTGGATTTTTACATGAAATCTCCAGTTTTTTCAATGTTGGTGACTAATTTTACAGTATTTTAAAACACCCTATGAGCCAAACAAAACACGTGTGTTCGGCCAGCTGGCTGCTGGTTGGTGGCCTCTGAGCAGATCCCGTCTGGGTTTCGCTGTGTCTGTTCTTCTGTCTCCTCTGCCTGTGTGCCATTCCAGCCAGTTCCTCTCTTACTCCGCATACTTCCCACCAGCACCTCCGCCTGCATCCCAGGGAATCCTCAGGCCCAGCGTTGCGCTGTGATCTCTCCCACCAGTTCCCTGTTCACAAGGCTCTGGGGGTTTGCTTGCTGCGGCCTCCCCTCCTGCTCTTTCTCTTTTTTAAAATTTTTTAATTTTTTAATTTTTGGCTGCGTTGGGTCTTCTTTGCTGCGTGCGGGCTTTCCTCTAGTTGTGACGAGCAGGAGCTACTCTTCGTTGCGGTGCGCGGGCTTCTCACTGCGGTGGCTTCTCTTGTTGCGGAGCACGGGCTCTAGGCACACGGGCTCAGTAGTTGTGGCACGCGGACTCAGTAGTTGTGGCTCGTGGGCTCTAGAGCGCAGGCTCAGTAGTTGTGGCTCGCGGGCTCTAGAGCACAGGCTCAGTAGTTGTGGTGCACGGGCTCAGTAGTTGTGGCTCGGGGGCTCTAGAGCGCAGGCTCAGTAGTTATGGTGCATGACGGGCTTAGCTGCTCCGCAGCATGTGGAGTCTTCCCAGACCAGGGCGCGAACCCATGTCCCCTGCATTGGCAGGCGGATTCTTAACCACTGCACCACCAGGGAAGTCCCCCTCCTGCTCTTTCTTGCCCCCTCGTGCCTGTCATCTGCCTCCAGTTATCTTCTGAAAAGAAGAGACGTGCCATTGTCACGCCCCATCCCCACCTCCCCACCTCCCCACCGTTGTCTCCAGAACTAAGCTGAAGCCAGAATGTGTCAGAGTTTAGCCTCCTCCCCGCCCCACCTCCCCCTACAGGCTTCTGTTCCCTGCTCTCCATCCCTGCCCATTGAAAGGATGTGACTCTCGATTGGGTTCCCAAGAAGCAGCCTCTGAGATGGAGTTTACTGGGGCATGCTTTTGGGGGAGGGCAGGAAGCAGGGCTGGGCAGAGGGAGAACTGGGCCGTGGGGCAGTCGCAGCAAGGCCTCTGCCAGCTCCACAGGGAGCTGCAGAGTCCCCTGGAAGTTGCCCCTGAGTTGAGTAAGGGGGCTGGGCCTTTACACGCCTGTGTTAGCATGCCACTGGATATGGGCTGGCGAGGGGCAAAGCCAGGGTTAGTCACAAGTGGGGGGACTCAGCTGTGGGCTGTCAGCTGTCAGCATTCCCAGCCACTGGAGGGATGAGCCCTTCAGCCCTGGGGATGGGAGGTGGGATCTGGGTGGTGCCCCACACTGTCCCCCACTCCGCCTTCCTAAGGCCTTGCTGTAATCCCACCCCATCCCCAGAAGCCTTCCCCACGGTGCCCACTGAGAATTCAGCTCTCCCTCCCTCACTCCAGAAGGACAAATTACCTCTTAGAAAAGACGAAGTCTTCCTTTGAATCCTCACAGCCCCTTACTTTCCAGAACTCTCTCTCAATTACTTTGGGACTTTGGGACAACTGAGTAATTTAAAAGCCAACCTAATGTAGTCAAGAGCCTGGTTTGAGGCTTGGTTGTGTATCCCATTCAGGCACTTTGCTGGGGCTTTCCCTCCCTTATCTCACTCACAGCTCTTATTCTCCCCATTTTTCAGATTAGATTAGGAAACTGAGGCTCCGAGAAATTGAGAAAGCCACCCAAAGTCACACAGCTAGTGCAAGGCCAAGAATGGGACCAAGCATATCTGAATTCAAAGCCCAGGTCCTCACCACTCAACACACTCCCTGAGAGGCTGCCTCACCTCAGAGGTCTTTGGGAAGAGTCAGCATCCCCACAGAGCTGTAAGGTCCTGGAAGACAGCAGTCATTTCTTGTTTAGTCTGGACTCCCCTAGGTTGGTCAGGATCCTGAGTGGCGGGGTCCGGGGGGAACAATGGAACTTGAATTCCAATTGAGTTACGCAAAAAAGAGCATTTCTTAGCTTATGCAACTAAAAAGATCAGGCGTTGCTAGTTTCCCCACACTGCCGGATCCAGGTGTGCAAATGACGTCATCAGGCCTTGGCATCTCCCTGCATCTCTCTGCCCTATTTCTCACTCTCTTGTCCGTCTCCCATTCAGACTCTGTCCACATGGGAGCCCCTAGAAGCTGTACCCGGTAATCCCAGGTAAAAGAACTTCTGCTTCCCAATTAAGTCCAACAGTTGTCCCAGAATTGTCTCCTCACCTGGCTTGGGTCACGTGCCCATCCTTAACTAATAATCACCGTGGCTCACCTTGGCAGGGAGTGGGGTGTGATGGAAAACACGGATTGGCCCGGCCTGGGTCAGAAGCCCATCTTTGGAGCCAAGGGTGAGGAGTCAGCTTCCCATACAGTGCTTCAGAGGAGGTTAGAGTGCCATAACCAGAGGAAGGGAGGAAGGAGGGAAGGAAGGAAGGAGGGAAGGAAGGAAGGAAGGAAGGAAGGAAGGAAGGAAGGAAGGAGGGAGGGAGGGAGGGAGGGAAGGAAGGAAGGAAGGGAGGAAGGAGGGAGGGAGGGAGGGAGGGAGGGAGGGAAGGAAGGAAGGAAGGAAGGAAGGAAGGAAGGAAGGAAGGAAGGAAGGAAGGAAGGAAGGAAGGAGGGAGGAAGGGAGGAGCCACTGTCCTCTTCATCTGATGATTTCCCCAAAGATGCTGTATGTAAATGTCTGTCCCACTGAACCGGCTTCTGACCTTTCTTGGAAATGTTATTTCAGTGCCTTTGGGAGTTTTGCCCTGGAATAGCGCTCCCAGACCTTTTTGCTGTAAGGAAAGTGTAATTTCTCTACGTCTCTACTCAGCAGGAAGGCAGAAGAACCTCCTGATCAAGGACCCTCTGCCCGTTTTGTGGCCTGTGATTTCCGAATGTCTCTTCTCTGAACCTTTGGCTTTTTCCTCATTGTATCCCAAATCCTAACCCTACTTTCCCAGCCTGTGCAAATGAAGAGAGCTTTGACAAAGTGACCCAGGGGGGATGCGTTGGGGTTGGTAAATACGGCCAATCCTATCAATGTTCTGAACGGGGATATATGATTTGCTAATTTGCAGACGACACTAATTTTGGAAGTTTTGCAAATATCAGCGGTGGTGAATAGGAAAGGAGCTGAGAGAGTTGAAACATGGGAGAGAAATAACAAAATTAATTTCCATTTATATAAATACTAATTGATACACCAGAGGAAAATGAATATGGAACACGGATATTAGCTCAAAAAGGAGAGCCGTCACTTTCAGAGCAGCCCTAGATTAGATGGCATCACAGTGCATCTTGCCAGGCAAACAAAGGGGTGGCAGGCTTGGGAGAGTCTGGGGTGCTGCCTCTTGTTTCGAGGGGGAGGTGGCATTTCTCCCTCACAGGGATCCCCCTGATCTAAATCCACTCCCTCCTTCACCTCCAGGCCTTCTCCATCTCGGGAATGGTACCCACAGCTACTCTGTCCCTCGGGTCAGAAACATTTTCTCTGTTCGTTAATTCCATACAGGCCATTGAGAGCCCTGTCAATGCTGTCTCCAAAACAGATCCTGAATCTGTCCACTTTGCCCCCGTTTTCACCACTACCACCTTTGTCCCAGCCACAGGTATCACAACAGCCTCCTCCCTGGCCTCCGTATGGAGTCCAACCCCAGTGCGCTTTCCAAGACACGGGTCCGATCATGTCACTTCTCGGCTTCCACATCTAAGCCTCCCTAGCTGCCCACTGCAGAGAAGAAAATCCAGACTTCATGACATGATCTAGCCTCCACCTAACCTTCTGACTAGCTGCCCACTGCAGAGAAGAAAATCCAGACTTCATGACATGATCTAGCCTCCACCTAACCTTCTGATCTCATTTTCCTCCATCTTCTACCTCAGTCACTTGGTTCCAACCACAGATCAAATATGTTCCCATCCCAGGGCCTTTGCCCTTCCTGCCCTCTCAGCCTAGAATGTTCTTCCAGAAATGCTAGAGAATGGCGGCCTCCTTCTTATCGCCCAGGTCTCAGCTCAAACGTCACCTCCTCAGAAAGGCCCTCCGTGACCATCCCTATTCCTGCTTAGTTAATCCCTGTCTTATCTCTTTCATTTTTTTCATGGTGTTCATCACTCTGTGGAACTATCGGATTATTTTTTTGATGTGTGTTCATTGTCTGTCTTCACTGCAGTGGAAGCTCCTAGAGAGATTTTGCTATGTGTTTACCCCTAAATCTCCAGGGCCAAGAACAGGGCTTGGTACCATAGTAGCAATATGTTTACCATTGACTGTGATTTTGGTCAAACTCAAATGATTGTATTTTGATTCATTTACCTACACGTATCTACTAAACACATACTCTTCAATCAATCATTTATTTTTTTTAAAAAAGCCTTAATTGACCATCTGTTTTCAGGCAGTATTCTAGGCTCTGGAGATAACAACAGTGAACACAGCTAACAGAGCCCCTGCCCTCAGGGAGCTTCCATCTTAGTGGGAAGGACTGATGAAAACAAATAAGCAAATCAAGTAGAACATCTTGTCAGGTGACAAAAAATAAAGCAGAGGAAGGGTTTTGAGAGTGATGGGAGAGGGTGCTATTTGAGTTCAGGTGGCTGGCAGGGCCTCTCTGAGGAGATGACAATTAAACATAGACTCATCATGAGAAGGAATGCATCAGTTAGCTTCTGCTGTGAAACAAACCATCCCCAAATTTAGCAGCTTAATATAACCACCATTAATTGTGATTTATCGTAATTCAGTGGCGTGGCTGGGCATTCCTTTGCCTCTGAGCCAGGCTGGCCTCTGCTGGCCCTGCTCTCGTGTCTAGTCAGCTGGCAGATGGGCTGGCAGCTGAATGACCTAAGATGTCTTCACCCACATGGCCTGCAATTGGGAGGCTAGCCTGGCTCCTTCACATGGCAAGACTCCAGGTGTGGAAAGAGAGGCCAGACCCCTGTATACATGTGCTTTACAGCCTCTGCAAGCTTCGCTTTTGCTTCTGTCCCATTGGCCAAAGCAAATCACGTGGCCCAGATTCAGGAAGTGAAGAAATAAACTCCGCTTCTGGATGGGAGAAGCAGCGAAATCACATTGCAAAGAGGCAAGGACTCGGTGGGAGGAATTTGTGGCCATCTTGCAGGCTTCTGGTGCTGTGAGAAGCTATGATGTGCCCAGGACCACGCTGGTCACACATCTGTTTCATGTGCCCCCAAGATGCTCAGAGTTACCTTGGCACCACGGAGGGCAGAGGGATCTGAGACCAAGTTACAAAATGTATGTTGGAAACGACAGGGGCGTAGGAGAGGAAGCCATGCTCCAGGGAGGTCACGTGCTTGGCCTCCCTTCCAGCCACAAGGGCATCTGGAACCTGCCTGAGCTGAAATGGGTGGAGCTACGTGAATCCAGGCTTCCTCCTTCCAGTGCTACAGTGCTGGCATTCTGTGAAAGTTGCAACAAGTGTGACTCTTTGGAACACAGCCACCCACAAGAGTGCTAAAGTAGGCCCCCAGTTCTCCAACGGTAAAAGAGTTCATGGGGCTTGGTCCTGGTTCTGCTGTAACGGGAGACCATTAAGGAAGGAGAAACTCCAGCCAGATATTGGATAGAGATTCATCGGCTTTGCACTTTCTGGGCAAATGAATGACTCACCTGGGCAGTTTTGCCCAGAAGTTCACTCCTAAATGCTCCCTGTTGGAGAAGGGGTGGAACAAGGGCAAAAGCATGGGAGTGTCACATGGGTCACTTCCTTTACCTTGAATCCTTTACCTTGAATCCTCATGATAGTGGCCAATTTGCATAAAATGTCCATTTCTGACGCTGAGGCTCACTGCTGCAGCCTCCTCTATTTAGTTGCTTGTTCAATCATTCCATCTGTACTGAGCTCCTACTGTGTGGCAGGTACTTTGCCAAGCTCTGGGGGCACAATGAGCTAGCAAAACAGATGGGATTTCTGCCCTCAGGGCACATGGGTATTTACCAAATGATCACAAGATCACACTGGTGACCAGAGCATGTAAGGGGAAGTTCACAGTGACATGGCAGGCTGTGAGTGGAGGCTTGATGTGGTCAAAGAAGTTGGGAGGGCTTCCCTGAGGAAGTAGCTGGGATCTGAAGGATGAGCACAAGTTAGCCTAGGCCATGTGAGTTCAGGAGGGAGAGAACAGCATGTGCAAAGGCCCTGTGGTGGGAGAGGAGAATGTGAATATGCGGGACTGAAAGACAGTCTGAGTGGAGCAAGGGATTTTGGGTGCAAGGTGAGGTTAGAGAAGTAGGCAGAAGCCAGATGACGAAGCCTGCTGGCCAAGCAGCAGGGGAAGCCACGCTAAGGTGTTAAGCATGGGGTGGGCAACGTGATTGATAAGTGGAGAAAAGACCCAGGGCTGTGTGCAAGTTTAAACCACACCGGCGCACTCATGCTGTAGATATTTCCTAAGCATCAACAGTGACCCAGGTCCAAGGGCCACCAAGAGGAAAGGTGCAGAGCCCACTCTGAAGGCCCTTTCATTGAAGTTTGGGCTTTCCAGTTGGTAGAATGCAGAGGCTAAAGATCACTCCTCTTCCTCTCTCCATCTTGGGTACCTCCTCTGGAACCTGTGATGTTCACGGGACACTTTTCTTCCTGCTGCAGGCCTCCAGCTGAATTTCACCGCCTCCTGGGGAGACCTGCATTACCTGGGGCTCACAGGCCTGGAAGTGGTGGGCAAGGACGGCCAGGCACTGCCCATCAACCTGCACCAGATCTCTGCCTCCCCCAGAGGCTTAAATGACCTCCCTGAGTACACCAACGACTCCCGGACCCTGGACAAGTGAGTGTCTGTAAGAAGCACAAGCAAGGCTCATGACAGCAGGGGTTCGGGGACCTGATCTGTATCGTAGGTTTCAGACTCAACCATCAAGCGGCATCTCCTATTCCACCTTCTCCCAGCCACCCCGTGAGGTCTGGGGTCTGCCCATTTTATACTCAAGGGAAACTGAGGCCCAGGAAAGGGCCACACAGCTGGAAGAGGTAGGCAGGATTGGAAGCCAGGCTCTCCTGCTTCCAGACCCAGGTGTGCTTTGTGTTTTCTTCACGGTGCTCAGCATGGGCCTCGCACATGGTGGCTGCTTGGTAAGCCTTTAGCTCGGTGTTTAGGCATGAGGGACCCCACCTCTCGGGCGCTGAAAGCTTTCCCCCCCTGAGGTCAGAGGTGATGGCTGAGGAAGTCTCCACAGGTGGCTAAATGCACTTCCCTCTGCATTTGTCAGATCATAAGCCCAGGTTGGGTCAAGCCAGTAAGAGAACACAAGCCTGAATATAGCCCTGATCCACGGGGCCCCAGAGCCGGCAGTCTGGCACTCGACCCCTCCGAGTCAGGACAGCTGTCAGGCTGAGGCCCTGCCTGGAGGTGCAAACAAGAAGATTCTAGGGGAGCCAGAGGGATGAGAGTTCAAATCCTGTCTCTGCCCCTTACCAGCTAGTTGCTTAACCTCTCCAATAATAATAGTCATGACAATAATAGTAATAACGGAAATTATAACTGCCATTTTTTGAGCATTTATTAAATGCTAGACATTGGACCATGCTAAGCAGGCTGCAGGTGGCAGATGTTCATTCATTTAAACCTCAAACAGCCCAAAGAGGCCCCCACTCTACAGATGAAGAAACTGAGGTACAGAGAGGTACCCACACTAGTTGAGTGGCAGAGCCATGATTTGAACACGGGTCCATGGGAGACCAACACGCATACATTTAACCACTAAGTTATGCCTCAGTTTCCTTATCAGTAGAATGGGGACAATAATTCCCATGGCTGGAGGGCGGGAGGGGGATTGCCACATCACAGCTGAGCCCCGTCCCTGGCCCAGAGCGTGTGTGGGGTCCACGGCGGACTCCTACCTGCTTTCCTCTAAAGTGCCCCTTAGCCGCGGCCCTCACAGCCTGCTGTCATTACCTGCTCACGGGCCATCTTGGCGAGTCGCACCCCTGCACACGGTGGCCCGCTGCCGATTGTAAAGGTGATCAGCTCATGGCTGGCCCTGCTTGTGCATCCACACCCACCCTCCACACAGATTGTGTCGCAGCAAATCCCAGGTCTGATAGTATCTCATCTCTACATATTTCAGTATGTAGCTCTAAACAATAAGGACTTAAACACAATCTGAGTACCATTATTCCAGCTAAATAATTAACAGTCATCTCTTAAATTACTAGCTATCCAGCATGTTTCTATTTCCCTGACCATATTTTTCCCCCTTTTATAACAGTTTGTTCCTTGAATTGGCATCCAGGTAAGGTCCGTACATTGTGATTGGTTGTTATGCCTCGTTTTAAAAAAAATTTTCGGGAATTCCCTGGCAGTCCAGTGGTTAGGACTCCACAATTCCACTGCAGAGGACCCGGGTTTGATCCCTGGTCGGGGAACTGGGATCCCACAAACCGAGTGGCGTGGCCAAAAAATACTTTTTTTTTTTTAATTTTAAAATTTTATTTATTTATTTATTTTAATTTTTATTGACATATAGTTGATTTACAATGTTGTGTTAGTTTAGGGTAAGCAGCAAAGTGATTCAGATATATATATATCTATATATTCATATTCCTTTTTTAGATTCTTTTCCATTACAGGTTATTACAAAATATTGAGTAGAGTGCCCTGTGCTACAGAGTGGGTCCTTGTTGGTTGTCTGTTTTATATATAGTAGTGTGTATATTTTAATCCCAAACTCCTAATTTATCCCTCCCCCACCTCTTTCCACTTTGGTAACCATAAGTTTGTTTTCTATGTTTGTTTTCTATGACTGTGAGTCTATTTCTGTTTTGTAAGTAAGTTTGTAGGTTGATATGTCTCTTAAGCCTCTCATAATCTCTAGGTTCCCTTCCATCTTTCTTCTTTTTTTCCTTATAAATTATCTGTTGAAGAAACCAGGGTTTTTGCCCTGTTGAGTCTGGATTTTACTGGCTGCATCGCTATGGTATCGTTTAGCCTGTTCTTCAGGCCCCCGTATTTCTTGTAAATTGTTCACCAGAGCTAGAGGTCTGATCAGATTGAGGTTTGACCATTAGGGCAAGACATAACCATCAGGGCGTGGATGTCACTGTGTATTCCCTTCAGGACTCATGGAATATCTGGTTGTCAGGCTTTCTGTGATGTTGGCAGCCAATACTTAGTGGTTAGATCTGTTACTCTATTGGGGGTTGTGAAACAGTGATACACTGATCCTATCACTCCTTTTTTGTCAATAAAAGGAAAATTTCCCTCAATTATTTGGTTACTTTGAGGTACAATTCAAACAGGAAAGACAACCTAAATGTTTGATTCTTTCCCTTTATTTTTCAGTTTTCAAAAGAGCAAATTGTTTCTCTAGCATCCTTTAAAACATTTGTTTGCTTTTGACTACCATAAACTCATGGATTTAAACCTACTATGTTTGAAGGGTTTCAATCTATTACGGTTTTTATCCTATTGATGCTCAAATTGATCCCTCTTTGGACATTGAGACTTCCCAAATCCTTTTGTAAAATAGTAGTCTCTGATAGCTGCCTTGCTTTCTGATGTCACAAGATAGTCCAGGTTCCTCTTTTATGTGTATTGTCCCAGGCATGGAATCAGCTATTTCTCCAAGAAGCCCAGGTTCCTTCTAGTGGGAAATGGTATTTAGAGACCATAATCTAGCCACTAGGGATGCTTATTGCTACTGGGTCAATCCTTGTTTCTAGGCTTTTTTTGTGGACAGAGCTAGGAAGTATCATTTAGATATTCTTGAGGGTGTCTATAGGGACCTCCCTTCACTGTCAGCTATAAACGCTTCATCGGTTCTCTCCACTCTCAGAATTGGGCAGTAGTTTTGCTTTGGAGGTGGCACCATATCTGGGACAGAGAGGTAATTGCTTTTGGAAGGAAATAGAAGGTTCTCTAGCTTTAGACCTCAGTCAGCTTAATTCCACAAACACCCCAGGGTTAAATTGCTGGATTTCCTCAGTTTTAAGATGCCAGCAATTGTAAGACACACCATCCATCAATTTAATAACAGCCTTTTAGAGAAAAAAGAAACATTACCTCCTTAGATGAACACTTCGATTGTAAGATTTATTCCAAGCCCAAAACTTCAAAATGTAAGAGGAAAAACATAAAGTTTATTTTAAAATCTAGGAAACGTGGGGCCTTCCCTGGCAGTCCAGTGGTTAAGAATCCGTGCTCCCAATGCAGGGGGCATGGATTCGATCCCTGGTCTGGAAACTAAGATCCCACATGCTGCACCACCAAAATAAATAAATAGAATGTTTAAAAAAAAAAAAATCCAGGAAATGTGGCAGCAGCCTGTGTCCCTCCCAGGGCAGCAGCTTCAAAGTCACCAGGAAAATGGGAAGGCGAGGGGAGGGGGTCGCCCAAGAGGCTGAGAGCTGGGCCCCTATCTCCAGGGCCAGGTCTCTCAGTGGTAGTGAGATCAGGGCTGGGGTCTGGGCTGGGGTGTGCTGGGCAGAGTTGGGAAGGATGAGACAGGATGTCCCAAGCAGGAGAACCAGAAACTGGCCAGGATGGGACTGCAGTGTGGTGACAAGCTCTTTTAGAACATGAGGGTGCTGGGGGCTCCCTCCCAGCGGTGGTGGGCTGCCCTGGGATATCCAGACTGGGTGACTACAGGCCAGACCATCTACCCCCCAGAGGCACCTGCCCCTTCTTGTACTTGTCCCACGCCAGGAGCTGCCAAGTTCCCCCTGGTGGTTTAGTATCTTTCTCCCCCAGCACAAGAAAGAAGGAATAGGGCTTCCCTGGTGGCGCAGTGGTTGAGAGTCTGCCTGCCGATGCAGGGTACGTGGGTTCATGCCCCGGTCCAGGAAGATCCCACATGCCGCGGAGCGGCTGGGCCCGTGAGCAATGGTCGCTGAGCCTGTGCGTCCGGAGCCTGTGCTCCGCAATGGGAGAGGCCACAGCAGTGAGAGGCCCGCGTACCAAAAAAAAAAAAAAAAAAAGAAAGAAGGAAGGAATAGAATTCTTTCAAAATGTACCATGGAGTCAATACATCACTTTTTAGAAATTTGGGAACATAGAAATAGTCACCCCCCACCCCTCTGACAGAAATAGATCTTTCACTTTTGCGTAATCTCTCCTGGTCCTTGTCCTCATTTTACAGCATTAAAATCAGCGCCCCTGCCTTTCCCCGTTACTGCATCATCCTTGTGATTATCATTTTAACTACCATACAGATTTACTGAACTTTTCCCTATTTTGAGACCTTTTAGGGTTTGCTTGTTTGTTGCTAATGTAAGCAGTATCTTGGTGCAGATACCTTTTTGACATGTTGAATAAATTTTTCTTAGGGGGAATAAATTCTAGAAATGGGATCGCTGGGTTAAAGGGTCCTAAAAACTAGCACACACCCGCATCCCCGTTTTAAAACCCTTGATGATTGCTTCACTGTACCTTTAACCACACAGACTGTTATTTTTCCCCTTGTTTTCCTATTTTGTCTAACTTCACACATGAGAGATGGCTCCTCACTGTTGCTTTAATTAGTCTCACCTCCCCGTAATGAGCCGGATCCAGCCAGGCTCGTGCCAGGCAGGGGCTGCCATGGGGAGAGGAGTGGGTGTAGACCCTACACTGTGAGTTCTCCCAGCAGACCGGGCTGCCCCCATCTCTCCGCTCCTTCCCCGCTGAGTGCAGGTTAATCGATGGGGCCAACATCACGATGGAGGATGAGCATATGTGGCTGATCCCCTTCTTGCCGGGGCTGGACCACGTGGTCACGATCCACTTCGACAGAGCCGAAAGCATTGCAGGCCTGCGCTTCTGGAACTACAATAAATCTCCCGAGGACACCTATCGAGGGGTAAGCCGGGCAACGGCAGCCGCGCTCAGTCCACTGTCAGGGAAACAGCACCTTGATGAATGGCTGGCGTGGCTGCCAGAGAGGAGCATAAATCCTCCAGAACTTTCCAAATGAAGCTGGGGGAGGTTACAGCCAGGGAGAGAGAGCTGCCGCTGTTCCCTCCTGCAAACAGCAAATGCAGGCTAAAGAGCCCGGGGCTGACCGGAGAACTGCAGCGCCTTGTCTCTTCTGGGGGCTCAGGGGTCCTCAGCAGGCCCAGCCCCCAACTCACAGTGGTCGGTTGCAGCCCTGCTGTTCACTGAGCGCTTTGGCGGCCAGGCCCGGGCTGAGGGCTTCTCATGCCTTTGTCATTTCATTGGACCCGCATTCCAGCCTCTGGGAGGCAGGTGTTATTACCCCCATCTTTCAGGGTATTGAAAACTGAGGTTCAGAGAGGTCCAGTCACTCATCTCACGTCACACAGCTAGAGGCCCAGTCCACGTCTGCTGAGCTTGGAGCCTACACTCTTAATTTCTACACTATGTTCTTCTCCTTCTGGGTGTGAAAAAGCAGGGGCCTCTGTTGGCATGTGGAAAAGAGCATCAGAAGTGCCCCCTTGGGGCTTCCCTGGTGGTGCAGTGGTTGAGTCCGCCTGCTGACGCAGGGAACACGGGTTCGTGCCCTGGTCAGGGAAGATCCCACATGCCGCCGAGCGGCTGGGCCCGTGAGCCATGGCCGCTGAGCCTGCGCGTCCGGAGCCTGTGCTCCGCAACGGGAGAGGCCACAACAGTGAGAGGCCCGCGAACCGCAAAAAAAAAAAAAGAAAAGAAGTGCCCCCTTTCATGGGCTTTTCTGACCTGTGTGACCATGAACCATGAGACATTTGTCCCCTCCCACTACATGGAAGTGATGATGACAAGGTCACCTAAAATATAGCAATGCAGTTAGGGCCCTAAATGCACAAGGCTCTGCGTCTGAATCCCCGCCTCTGAGCCTTCCCAGCTGTGTGACCTTTGGCAAGTGGCCCGCCTTCCCTGGACCTCAGTTTCCTCATCTGTAAAAGGAGGAGGAGGATACCTGCCTGTGGCCCACGGAAGTTGACAAAGCCAGGACCCGGCCTGTGAGGATGCCGTGAGCCCAGGCCTGGGTCCTCAGTACGTCCAGGGACTTAAGACTGTGGTGGTTTATCACAGTGGAGTGAGCAGCCCCCAGCCCCCGGCGCTTGTCTTCAGGAGCACTGGCTCCCCTGAGTGTGCAGTTTACAAACCCCGCCCAGGCCGCCCTGGTGTCTTTGTAAGCGTGCTCTTGGGTCAAGCGCGAATAAAATGTCAGCTATGTTGGCGTTAAAGAAACATTCTTTTGCCTCAACTCGTGCCTCTGGGCCTTTCCCTTCCCTTGAGTGAATCCCTCTTTCCAGTTGAGCTTCCACGACCTGGATTTACCGCCTGGAAACGTTGGGCCCAGAAGCCCTGCTTCCCAGGTCTGGCCCCCACCAGCCTTGGTGCCAGTGATGAATGGCCACCATGGGAGCGGGGATGAGCGCCATCTGAGAGGGCGATCCCAGGGCGCAGAGTAATGGAACTCTGGTCCCTCCCTCCCCAGGGAAGTGCATCAGATGCCCACCCCACAGGGCACCACTGGGCATGCTGGCTCTGAGCCCCTGGCATGAGGTTAGAGCCAGGCCTGGCACTCTAGGAGGTGGGCTTCACACCCCTCCAGTGTGTCCTTGGGCAAATTGCTTAGCCTCTCGGAACTCTAGCTTCCTTAGCTATAAGATGGAGGTGATAATAAAAGCCCCTTCTGAGGCAATGAACCGGGGTCTGGGGAAGACAGAGATGCTCCCAGGAGGTGGTGGTGGCCCTAGAAGAGGGACAGGGACTTCCTGGACCTCTGCTGTGCTCTGTTGCCAGCTTCACTTCAGGTGGCTTTCTCCTCCAGGCCAACACTGGCAGCTCTGGGCTTGCATCCTGCATGCTCCAAGCCAGCAAAACCCCAGGAGCCACGTGGCTCTTGCATCCACATGGCCCGTGGGTGACAGTTCTCTGTTTGGCCGGGCCTGAGTCACAGGTCCAGCCCTGGGGCCCAGGCAGGAATTAGGCTTGAGGAAAGTAGAGTGGAGGCATAGTGACAGCTTTGGGGTCACCATTTCCAGCCCCTGTACACCTTTTAGGTTTATGAATCCTGTGACCGGCTGACTGAGTTATGGGGGGGTGAAGAGCCCCAGGGTACATTGTTATCCATGAGACCCAGGACAGGGCCCCTTCCTTTCCTCACGGAGAAGCCCTCTGTGTCTTCCGGGGTGAAGCACCACCAGTTTGGTCAGCAGCTGGCTGGGCTGCTAACCATGAAGGTGGAGTGAGGTGCCAAGGAGCCCTGATTCCAAAATGTGGAGTCAGAGAGGGTACTGGCTTAGCCCCCCTCTCTGCTCCCCTACCACCGCCCTTCCCCAGGGGAACAGAGCTGAGCCACCTCAGATCCTGCCATTAGGCTTTGACATTTACTGGCAGATCCTGGCCATCCGGCTGGCAAAATCTGGCCTATAACAGGGGGTCATGGTGGCCCAGATCCAATCAATTCAGCAAGCTCCTACTGTGTGCCATGCCCAGAGGCGGATGTAGAGATAATCCAGCTGGGGTCTCTGCCATCAGGGGAGACCCCGAAACCATGGAGGACACAGCTAGGGAATACATGCCCTTAAAAGGACAAGCCAAGGGCTGTGAGAAGGAATATCAAGAAGGGGCCCATTTCTGTCGCAGGGGCAGGTGCTAGGAGAGGAGGTGAGGTATGAGCCAGGGTTTGGAGAAGGATCAGGCCAGGCTAACACTGGTGCAGTGCGTATTTTGTGCAAGGCACTGTTCTGTTCTGGAGACTTTATGTAAGTCAGCTCCTCGTTGAGCCCATTTAACAGATGAGGAAATTGAGGCACGGAGGTCAAGTAACTTGCACAGCTACTCATGGTGGATCTCAGAGCAGCTGAGTCCATGCCCTTGACCACCATGTCACACCTCCTCAGGCCACTGCAGCTGAGTAGACAGGGGAAGGTCTGTACGTGTCCACTGTGGCTGGGGCCTCGCCTGCCTGCTCCCCTGCTATACGTCCAGCGCCCAGCACAGAGTAGGGATGGCACCGGAAAGGGGACCCCGGCCAAGTGGTTCTGGCCTGGGAGAAGGGCCTGGGAGAAGGGCCTGGCTCTGTGAAGGCCCCCAGTCATACATGCCAGCTGCCAGCAGCACCAGCCACGTCAGCGCTCACCACCCTCCTCACACTGGCTCCTGTTCTTCAGACTTGTTATTTCTGTTGTTTGCTAGGCTAAAATCGTCCACGTCTCCCTGGATGGCCTGTGCGTCTCCCCTCCTGAGGGCTTCCTCATCCGGAAGGGGCCGGGCAACTGCCACTTCGACTTTGCTCAAGAAATCCTCTTTGTGGACTACCTGCAACGCTGCCCGCTGCCCCCACCAGCCCAGAGGTGAGGGGAGCGGCTCCATGAATGGTCCCTCCCGGCCCAAGGGCACTGGCTTTGCATCGTGCTCTGAAATGTGTACCTAAAGGGTTTTGAAATGATGATCAAACACATTGCTTTTCAACTTGGCTGTTTTCTAAAGCTTAGCCAAGCCTCTCCGGAAGCCTGGGGGATGTACCCACCTTGTCTGGGGATGTTTGGGCTTCTCACAGTCTGGAGTGCTTGAGATTTTAAATGCTTCGTTGTGCTTCCTGCTGGGAAGAGAGGCTCAAGCCTGCCTAGATTCCAGAAATGCCTGCTGGCCAATTCGGGGAAGGGCCTTCCTCCTCTTGTTTCTGTATTCCTGATTTAGAAAGATTCAAAGAGAAAAATAGAGCCTAACATTTCATGGATTCCCTGGAATTGCTTGGCCCGTCTCAGCTGCGTTAAGTTCATAACAATCTGTAAATGCCACGTTAAGTTTATTCATTTAAACCCCCTGATGTCCAAGTACCAGAGGCCAAGCTCTCAAAACAAAATGAGTTTCCCTCCACTGTAGCTGGGATCACTCCTTGGGCCAGATACTGGGAATAGTCACTTAATTATAACGCTGCCCTTGAAACTGAAGAAAACCAGGCCAGGGCCGGAGGGCACTGGCCGTGGACCAGGGAGAGAAGCCCTGCGGGGAGGAGTCTGGAGGAGGAGAGAGGCTCCCTCCCGTGTGCCTGCTGTGAGCCAGATGCTTTGTAGTCATCCTTCAGGGAATCCTTCCAACCACCCTTTGAAGCAGGGATTGTTAGGCCCATTTCACAGATGTGGGAACTGAGGCCCAGGCGAGTGAAGCCTCTTGCTCAAGATCATGAAGCAAAGACTTCAGGGCTCTCCCCACCTCCCTGCCTCCTCTCCCTGCCTGCCTCCCATCCCACCCCACACTTCAGCCCGTCTGGCTGCTTTCTGGGACAAACATCAACTGTCCAGCCCCGTCCCACCTCAGGGCCTTTGTTCTGGGTGCTCTTCGGCTTGGAAGGCTTGGCTCTGACTCTTCCCATGGCTGCCTTCTCCTTAGCTCAGACATCACTTCCCTGATTACTGCCTGGGGTAGCCTGCCCCCTCCCAGCACTCTACCCCATTGGCCCATCGTGGGTCTCACTCAGCTCTCAGAACAGTGTGGACTTATCTTGTTCGTGAAGGGGCTAAATTTGGGTGGGGTGATTAAGAGTGTGGACCCTGGAACCAGACAACCTCAGGTCACATCCCACTTCTGCCACCTCCCAGCTGTGTGACCTTGAGCAAGTGACTTCACTTCCCTGTGCTCCAGTTTCCTCACCCACAACAGGGATGTGAGAGTACCCACCTCCCAGGGTTGCTTTGAGGAATGCGAGTCAAACCCAAGGTGACGAGCCTCCCCCAGTAGATGGGAACTCCAGAAGCTTGTCTGTCCTTCCCCCAATGCCTCCCCGGGGGATAGCTGACCAGCGACTCGGGCCACTGCAATCCTCTGCTTCCTGGTGCTGTTTTGTGTTTTTTCAGACTGGACACAAAGAGCCTGGAGCGGGCGAGCATGGACTATGAGGCGCCCCCGATGCCCTGTGGCTGTATCCTCCTCCACCTGCCTCACATCCCGGGCACTGGATCTATGCCCAGAACCCAGGGAGAGGGCGAGGCCCTTGTGGCCTCCTCGCGGGCCCTGACTTGGGGTCTGGGCCTCAGCTGCTGCCCTGGGTTTCAGCCAGGCCACAGCCAAGGCAGCTGGAGCCCATGCAGCGAAACTAAGGGGAGGTTGGGAGAGCTCCCGGGTCCCTGGGGACAGTGGGGGTTGCTGGGACTGAGGAGTTCCAGGCCCCGCCCCCCTGGTGGGCTGAAGTTCAGGAGGCAGCACCAAGAAGGACTGTAGCTGGGAGGGGCCAGAGAAGCAGGAACCGATCCGGGGACTGGGCTGGGGTCTCTCCTTGGAACCAGGCAGGGAGGAGGTGAAGAGAGAAGGAATCATAGCTCAAATGTGCTGGACCCTTTCTGCCACCCAGCACTGTTTGCAGTAGATCGCCTGTATGAACCTCATGTGTTAGCCCTGTGAGGTGGGTACTGCATCCCCATTTCACAGCTGAGAAAACTGAGGCACAGAGAGGTTAACTAACTTGCCAGGCCACCTAGCCGGGAAGGGGTAGGACCGGGTTAGTGAACACAGACAGCCTGGCTCTCTCACTAGCCTGTTCTCCATCCGGCTTTATCGCCTGGGGACCACCCTACCACTTCTCAGGCTTCCCGGCCTGCCTGCTCCTGGGGATTCTAGAAACCAGTGGGGGACAGAGCTGAGGAAGGGCTGGATGCCTGGTTGTCTGTGTGAGGCGCAGTCAGCAGTGCGGGAGTGGGGGGGGTGGTCACCCTGCCAGGGCCCATCCCCCCAATACTGTGATGCTCCCGCATCCCCCCCTCCCTGTTCACACCCTGTACACTTGAAACATGTGGAGCAGGGAACAGGCACTCTGTTCGTGTCATTTTACAACCAGGGAAACTGAGGCAGGAGGTAGTTTGAGGCCTGGTCACTGTTCAGCTCTAAATACTGAGTTTGTGACAGATGCGTCCCCCCTGCCAGCTCCCTGGAGCGCACCCTCCCTGCCTGTCCTCCTACCTCCTGGGGCCTGGAGAAAGCTTTTGAATTCTTAAAACACACATACACACATTCATATGCAGTTTAAATTAAAGAAAATTTCGTGCAACATACACTGTGATTGACTTCAGTCTCAAAGGAAAAAGAAATCATTTTTTTCTCTCGTTCATCTCTATATATATATATATATATATATATATATATATCCCTTTTATCTTTGTAATTGTTTTCCTCTGTTCTCCAGAAAATTAAGCCTGTTTTTCCTTAATAACATGTTGCAGTCATTTTCCAGCTTCAGCTCCTGACCAGCTGGGGTGACCCCTATTACATCGGTCTTACCGGCCTGGAGCTGTATGACGAGCAGGGAGAAAAAATCCCTCTGTCGGAAAACAGTATCCTTTCTAGGCAGAAGGGGGGCTCCACCCAGACTGCAGGGAGCATGGGAAGGTCGGGCGAAGAAGCAGAATCCTCGAATGTAGAGAGAAATATCCCTGTAGGAACCAGACCTGGAAATTAAAAATGCCACTGGGCTCTACTTACAGTCAGATGTGACCCTTGCAAAGCAGAGAGAAGCTCCCAGGCACACCTGCCAAGACATCCATAAAACAGAGTCCTGTGGTTCAGGAATTTGGGAGAGGCTACCAACTGCAGCCCCCTCTTGGAGAACCACAGACACTTTGGAATTGTAAAGGCTCTGACAGGACTTGTAGCGAGAAGCCTGTTCTATTGTGTTCAACCCAGTGTGTCCTGAATTTATTGACCGTGGAGCCCTTTGCTCACAGAATACCGACACCAGAATTAGCAAACTGTTAGCCCAGTGAGCTTTTAAATGTTTTGAGTTAGTCGCTAATATTTTTTAAAAACCAGGAGGTTTCAGATGACAACCCAATCTTCAGCTTCTCTTGAGAAGCTGGCAGTGCGAGGCCACAGTCCTGCATAGTGACGATGGCTGGACCTGAGTGCCTGCTGCCCTTTCTCCCCAAGTGCATCCACCTGGTTGATCCCAGTCTTCTACCTCCAGTTACCTCCCAGGCCCCAGAAACATAGTGTTAATATTCACCAAGGGCTCACTCGGTGCCAGGGCTTGTCCCATGTACCTCATTTGCCCTCACCACAATCTTGTGAAGTGAGGCACAGAGAGGTTGAGTAACTTACCCAAGGTCACACAGCCAGTGAGCTGGGAGTCTGGCTCCAAAGACCATGCTCTTGACCACTGAGCTGTCCTGCTTCCCTTTGATACAACCTGCCTGACCCCTCTGGGCTCTTGATCTGTGATCCCTGACGCACCAGTTAGGGAACTACTAGAGCAGGTCAAACCCAAAAGCCTCCCTTGCATCTCTCTGGGGTCCCTGGGTTCTGATTGGATCCTTTTCTGCTTTGCCCTGGTGGCACCATGCTCCTCACCTGGGATAAGTGATTCTTGGTGGTTTTGATCGTTATTAGTGATTCCTTAGATGTATAAGTCTTCATCAATTCTGGGACATAGAGATGTTTATTCCCATTTTACAGATGAGGAAACAAGCCCAGAGATAGCCCATGAGTTGCCCAAGATCTCACAGGTCAGGATGGCAGAGTCAGAGCTGGGACCATGTCCTCTCTGTCCACATTAATGCCCATCCACTGAGTAGCAATAGCTGAGTCAGGCTCCGCCCCCCACATCCTTCCAGTCTCGGTAGGGTGGTCACATGCCAAGGCAGAATCCAGCCATGACCCCGTCCATCCCCTCGCAAAGGAAAACCTCAGAGTCTGCCCTCCACTCTCCAAAGAGACAGCAACAGTTTTTATTCCCGCCTCCAGCACTTCCATGAAACCCGTCTTTTTCAGCCTGCTCTCTGCCCGCTTTCCTCCCCTTTCCTTGATACTGGCCACGCCTCCACTCTCACCCCGACTCCCCTCAGCCTCCTTGCTTTCATTTTCCCCAGAACATGTCTAATTTGGCTGTCACTCCTCTGGCTGCCCAGAGCAGCAGATGGCGGCTCTGCCCGCCAGGCGCGCCCGCCCTGGCGTCCCCTGAGCCGTGCCATCAGCGTGATGGAGGCTGGAGGCCGCAAGAGTGGCCCACGGTGCACGGTGCTGAGCACTCTGCTTTGGGTTATGAGAGCTTAGAGGCGTCTACAGATATCGCCGCCTTCCCCGACAGCGTCAACTCTCTGGAGGGCGTATGTGGGGACGTCCGGACCCCCGACAAGCTCATCGACCAAGTGAATGACACCAGTGACGGCAGACACATGTGGCTGGCTCCCATCCTGCCCGGCCTGGTGGGTTCCGGAGGCTCTCAGCCCTGGGGTGGATGCGGGGGGGCTTTCTGTCCCTGGTCTCAGTGACACATCTTTCTTCCAGGCCAGGTTAACCTCGAACAAGTCAAAATGCCCAGGGGCCGCCAGGAAGCCTCGGGTCTTTGCTAACACATCTGACAGGTTGGCTCTTCCTGGCCAGAGTTCTTTCCCTTTGCTCTGAGGGTGCATATTATAAGGGGCCACCAGGGAGCTGAAGGGCCACATTGGACTCTGAGGCCAGGAACCCAGTGCAGCAGTCCTGGGGGCTTGGGCATCTGTCGATCCCTGCAAGACATCCCTCAATGGTTCTCTTTTCTGCCCCTGTCTCTCTCTGCAGAGTCCACTCTGTCCTCTTCTTCCCAGCCCCAGCCTCTCCACATTCACTGTTTCTGCTCCCTTTTTATGCCACTGGGCACTTGACCCCAACCTTGCCCTCTCTCTGGCCTCAGACCTGCCTGGTAAGCTCTTCCAACCAACTGACTCAGTCTCCCAGATCTCAGACTCTGCAGTTGGTCCTGCCTACCTCTTTGCTCCAAGGCCTGATGGCGAACCTCGGGGTGGGCCTTTGCCCACCTGGGCCTGGTTGATAGTGGTAGAGAGGGAGGTGAGAGACCAGGAGATGGGAGGGGTTGGGTAGCACTCCCTAGCCTCTCAGTCACGGGGCCAGAAGCCTGTATAGATGTGCAGCAGGGGCTGGGCATCTACCCCTGTGACCACTGGGTGGGAAGATAAGGGGTACATTTTCCTCTCAGAACCCTCACAGGAAGGGGCAGCACCCCTTCAATGGTCCATCAGCTTCCCTTGAGAAGAGGCCAAACCCCTCAGCCCCACCACTGCAAAGGAGAACCACATAGATCTATCAGCCCTCCGACCTGGGGCTGCAAACTGGTGGCCCCTGGCCAGTCCAGCCGGCTGCCACCTTGACCTTGGCCAGCAGGCATCTGCCAACATCTTTCACATGAAGCCCTTTGGGTGTAGAGCAGCTTCTCCGTCTCTCCCTCTTCTAGCTGGACTCAAACATTTGTATCCAGTTGAACGCTGTGGACAACTGAGTTTGAGGACCCTCCTCTAGACCTTTATTATTTCCATGGTACAAGCGGAAGGCTGACCCTGTCCACATCCCCCTACGTCCTCTTGGGGCTGAGACCCAGGGCTGGAACCAAACGAAGTCTGCAGCCTGTGGCCACGCTGAATTCTTAGGCGTTCTTCTGTCTTGCGAGGGGCCCCCTAATATTTGCGAGGCTCTGCTGGGGGTGAGGAGGCTGTTGGGTCCCACTTTACTAGCCGATCGGCCACGGATCGGGACACCTCCTGCCCCCTCCGCCAGCAGAGGTTCAAAGATCTCTGCTGAAAATCACCCAGCGGTGCCTTCAAGGCCACTCGGCTGTGCTTTTCATTTATGATTCGGAGAAAGGACAAACAGGGGTCAAGGCTGTGCTGATTGCTCGGAGGTCGTGCCTCTTGACTCTGGAGCTGGGGACCGTTCCCTTGGCCCCTGGAGCCCCAGGCTGTGTTTCTGGACCTGACATGGAGGAAAGGGAAGGGCGCGCCCAGTTCTCCGCAGGCATTTCAATGACGGCCATGCCAGGCCCAGAAAACAGACCTTTCAACAGCCAGCTCAGCGGTTTGTTGCAAACGCAGCCACACGTGACCTGACTCAAGATGGGCTGCAAGGAGAAGAAAGGCAGCGGGAACCCCACGCACAGCGGCCCCAAGCAGCCCAGGCGGCCCACCTGGGCCGGCACTGCCTTGGGCACCCACCCCCCTCGCGCCCCGGCCCACGCCTGGCACCCCGGGCCCAACCCAGTGCCTCTGTTCCCAAACATGCCTGTTTTAATTAGTTCTTCTCTCTGACAGGTGAACCGGGTTTATGTGATTTTCGATCGGCCTACCACGGTGTCAATGATCAAACTGTGGAATTACGCGAAAACACCCCATCGAGGGGTGAAGGAGTTTGGCGTAAGTACTTACTGGCTGCGTTTTTTGAGATAATTATGCTCATTGGTAATTAGGCTGCTGGCAATTATCATTTGTCGCAGTTTGACTTAACTTCTCTCGGCTGCAACCTTAGACACAAATGCCTGGTCCTCAGAGGCAGGGAGATGTGCCATCCAACCGTGAATTCAAAACCTCCGAGTGATTTGAATCATCACCTCGAAAAAAACAAAGTGGCTTTTCTTTCATCTTTTCTTCTCGAATTGTACTGGTGTAGGGAGCTCTTCCTGCTGGAGGCGACTCTGGGGTAGGGAGAGCTAGGGCCCTGGGGGACCAGAGACCAGAGTTCGCCATGCCCTGCCACATGGGCAAAAGATTTTAGCCCTTTGAGCCTCAGCTTCCCCATCTGCAATTTGGGGCTAATCCAGGCGCCTTTCCTGGTCATCGTGAAGGTTTGAAATCATAACACGGGCCGCGCACCTAGTAGGCGAGGCTCTGAGCAGTGATGCACTTTGCCCGAGGTCACACGTGGGAAGGACGAGGGGGATGATGGACCACACACACGCCACACTCCACACAGCCCCTCCTCTGTCTGTCCAGCTCCTGGTGGATGACTTGCTCGTGTACAATGGGATCCTGGCCATGGTGGGCCACCTGGTCAGGGGCATCCTGCCCACATGCGAGCCCACAGTACCCTACCACACCATCCTCTTCACTGAGGACACGGACATCTGTCACCAGGAGAAACACACCGCCATCAGGTACGCCCCGAGCCCGTGACCTCCCCTCCCCCATCACCTCCCCTGCCGGCCCTAACGAGGAAGGACGGCAGGGACACGCTGCCTGGAGCCTGATGGAACCTTCTGGCTTCCCCCCGCAGTAATCGGGCGGAGGGTCAGGACGTGGAGATGATCAATGAAAACCAAATCGTTACCAACTCGAAAAGGAAGCAGAGTGCAGCTGACCCAGGTCAGCTTCCTTCTCTGCCCAGAGCACCCCTCCCACCCCCCTTCAGGAGTCTGGTCGGAACGGAGAAGGAGCTGGCAGCATCACACACTGTCTCTCGCCCCTGCCAGCCCTCAGACCCCTCTCCTCCACCCAGGAGCCTTCCCTGGGGGGCTGCGGGGGCGCTGATGGGGGCAGAACCCCGGGAGCAATGTGGTGTGCTTCCCAGAAGCCAAGCCTTGCATGTACAGAGGGAAAAGGGCTATTAAGGGCAGAAGCGCTATATTGAAAGGGTTGTCCTGCCCTGGGCCACTGGAAACCAGGAGAGGATGTGCAGGGCGAGGGCTTCCCAGAGGAGGGATGCTCGAGCTGGATCCTGAAAGATGCTCCTGATCCTGAAAGATGGTCAGGCAGAGGGAGCTCGAGGCTGCTGGGGCGGAGGCCAGGTCTCCAGGGGCCGTGAATGGCAACCCCGGGCAGTCTGGATTTCACCCCAAGGGCATGGGGCAGCCCTCAGGGATGGCGGCTGGGTGACACTGCTCCCTCTGTGCTCTCCCTCGACAGCCTTACGCCCCAAAACCTGCATCAGCGAGAAGGAGACAGCGAGACGCTGGCGGTGCTGACCACTGAAGGAGGGGGAGCTGGTCCTCTCAGCCGGGGTGGGGCTCCGTTACCCAGCCCCAACTCAGCACCCATGTCCCCCGCCCTCAGGCCTCCGTGTGGGCCAGCCCAGACCCCAGACCCCAGACCCCAGGAGCTGGAAGGGAGCTGCAGCATGGAGGGAGCCCGCTGGAGAGAAGGGACTCAAGGGGTGAATGGCCCTGGGAAATACAGGAGTTCTGGGCAGGTGGAAGAAGTGGTGTGGTGTGGCCTTCCACTGTCCCCCGTGGTCCTGGGGCCAGCTGCAGGGAGCCTGGGGTCCCCTGGCTCCGTGGCTCTACCGTGAGATCCAGCAAAGCAGGGCCCGAGTCCGCTGAGGCCTGTCGTGGGATCCGCGGGCTCGGCCTGACTCCAGGCAGGAAGGTACCATGGCCAGCCATGCCAGGGCCTGGAGTAGGGCTGAGCGGGCGAAGGAGGCCAGGCGTCAGACACCAACACCGACAGGCGTAGGGTCCTGCCTTCCGAGGCCCCCGCTGAGGGGCCAGCAGCTCCCACCCCCACCACATCCCCGCCTCATCTGGGGGCTGCGGAGCCAGCTGAGCAGGTGGGACCTTCCCCTGGACCTCTGCAGATGTCTAGCCTGGACTGCTACCACCGCTTCACCCGTCCTGGGTCCCGCCCAGGCCCGGTTAAGAAGGAGGGATCCCCTGAGGGGAGCCGGTCCTGCAGGGCCTCAGTCCTCTGGTCAAGCCCAAGAAGGGATCTGCCAAGGGCATGTGTCCTGCTGAACAACGGAGGGAGCTGAACCCACCGGTGGCCTACAGCCGGCCCCACCCCGGCATGCGGAGCCTTGTCCCTGCGGTGCTGCCCGGCCCAGATAGGACAGGTGGGCAGCGTCATACCCCGGAAGGCCCAGATGCCGTCTGGATGCAGGGCCCGGAGCCAGAGGACCGGTGCCACGGCCCCACGCTCGGGCCCCAGAAGCCCCGCCCCCTTCCGCTGGAACTAGCCTGGAGGGGGCGGGGCCCTCACTCCCCGCCTGTCCCTGCCCTCGGTCTGATCCAGGCTTTTCGCGCGTGCTGTTTCCCTTTCCATCTGTCCTTCACCCCGTGTCCTGGGCATCGGGCAGTGAGGTTCTTGTTGCCGGGGGTCCCCACCCCTTCTCCCTCATCGAGCAGCTTCCCAGCAAGTTGGAAATAGGCCTTGCACCCCAAGCTGCGTGAAGCCCAAAACGCATCGATTTCCACCTGTGTAACAAGCTCGGATCAGGGACCTAATTGGTTTCCCAGTGGTGGGTAATTTCTTGTTCCAAATATTAATCCGTTGTTTTCCTGGCGCCCGGCCCAACCCTGCCGCGTTACTGTACTCTAAGTAGTTCCTATGCAACCCAAAGCCCCAGCAAATACTTTATGAGCTTTGCAGCTTCAGCCGATCAGCTATGCAAATGCGCTTCTCATTTGGAGCGTGGGGCTGATGTGAAGATAAGGAATTGTTTCTCCCAGAGAAGATCCATCATTTCTGTAGCTTGCAAGCCCCGGGCTGCCCTGCTCACCTCCCAGATGTGGCCAGTGCCTCCGGGGCCTGGGGGCTCCCAGGAGACCTGACCAGCTTTTAGTGACCAAAACCAGTGCCGTGGGTTTCAAGGGAGCCCAGCCTTCCATCCCTGCCGAGGCATGTTTACAGGTCAGACGTGTCCGGGAGATTGCAGGAACACCGCCCACACTTGCTCCCAGAATCTCAGTTGATGTTTAGAATAATTGTATGTACCATGCAATTTAGGGGGAGAAAAAGCTGTACAGGTATTAACTCTAAAATAACTTTCTATTTTTTTCTCTTGTAAAATCAATAAAAGATGTTGTTAAGAATATGGTCTGATGCACTGGATTTGGGGTCAGACAGAGGGAGCCTGTGCTGCCGCCAAGAACTGCGTCAGAGCCCACTGGAGGCTGGCTGTTCTGTTTTCCCACCTGCAGATGGGGTCGTGGTCCTGACCAGGTAATAGAAGCCCGTACGTTTATAGTGGTTATTACCTGCCTGGAACTAACTCATTTCATCCACATGCAACCCTGTAGGGTAGGTATGATTATGCTCCTCCTTTTACAGACAAGGGAACCAGGGCACAGAGAGGTTGAGTAACTTGCCCAAGACACACAGCTTGGGGAGCGATCAGTCAATACACAAATCCTGAGATAACCAAGGGAGAGCTGAGACAGGGTGAAATTCCCTGGGCCCTGGGGTTTCCCTTCAGGATGTGTGGATTCTGAAAGCCCAGCCCCCAGATGCTGGATTGCTGGCTCCTCCTGCAGTTCCCCACGCCCCTGCGTCCCTTAGGGGTGAGCATTGGCTTCTGGTTAAAGCAGCCCTTGAGTGGGAAGAAGGTTCAGTCGAAGGGGCCAGGGGTCTAGACTGCAGCTCGGTTGCCAGCAATTACATTGGCACTAGGTAAGAGGGCCTTCTGGAGACCCCACCTCCCTCCACTGAACCAGTGAGAGGGGAGAGGGCCTCTGTCCTGCCCGAATGTAAGGAAGATGGCAGAGCCTCTAGGGGGCCCGCCCCGGCCCCTGCTCCCCTCTGAGTTCCTGTGAAGACAGAAGGGCCCTGCTCTGCCAGCCACCCTGGTGTTGCCAGGGATTGTGTCTCTGCGCCAGCCCTGGAGACCCTGAATGCAGGCCAGCCCTTCCCGCACTCCAGCTGTGGGCTGTGAGGCCGGCCGGGCATCCCAACTTCTAAGCCTCTCCAGCCACCAGCCAGGGCCCTGGGCCTGGGTCCCTGTTGCTCAGGAACCAGGCAGGCAACGTCGGGGAGCAAAGCTGGCCTCCAAAGACCTGGTCAATAGGGCAGCACGGGCCCCTTCTAGGGGGCAGCTGCAGCTCAGCACCCAGGGTCCCGCAAGACCAGATCTTCAGGGGTTTTAAGGGAAGCCAGGAATTCAGGTGTTTTCATTATTTTTAATGTGAAATCGGACTTTTAAATGTTGGCTCTAAATTGTTTCAGTTAAAGTAAACATTGAGTGAGCCAAATAAATCCGGTTACAAGTCCTGCGTAGCCGACCGTCCACCCCAGCTCAACCTGAACATCAGCCCTCCCTCCCTTCCTGGCCCCCGGGAGGTTTCGGTCCCTGACCCCTGACTCCATGAGTGCCCAGGGCTGGTTCCCCCCAGCCCTCCTCGCCTCTCCAGGGAGGTAAAGGGAGGGAGGGGATTATTCCTGAGACCTCCGCCCCGCCCCTCAATCCCCAGGGGCAGAAGGGCAGGGGTCAGTGGGGTAACCTTTGCCGACTGGAGCTACAGTCCCCACCCCCAGCCCTCCTGGAGAACAGAGGCCTTCCTCTCTCTCCACATCCCGCTTCCTGTTCCCTGCATCCCACCCCGACCCTGTAAACACAGGGGTGTAAATCAGCCCCAAACCATAGCTGTCAGTTGGCACGCAGGGGCTTGTTGGCACCCAGGCATGGTCTGCTGGGAATGAATCTTGGCCACAGCTGACAAGAGGATTAAGGAAGAGCAGGCACAGGCTCCCAGGGGAGCCTCCCCCCAGGCCTCTGTGCCCTGGGGACCTGCCTTCTCTAATCTACAGTGGGAAGGACCTGCTTCTGTCTGTCTGTCTGTTTGGCTCCAAACAGTTCCAGCACTGGCACCATGACCTCAGAAGGGCCCAGAGGGTCCTGCAGAGCCTGCCAAGGCTGTTGTTTCTGTAGCCAAACAGGTGACAGCTGCCCCATGCCCAGACACGTTTGCTGAGATGCCCTGGGTCCCACCGCAGGCCTCACCTCCCACCCCACCTGGAGCCAGGATGGCCCTTTCCTGAGTCTCCAGGCACCCCCTGGCCTCGGAGTGGAACGGCAGCTCACAGTCCGGAGGCTCAGCCTCCTCGGGGTTCGTTGGCTGCACTGGTCTGGCAATTCCCTGCTTCTCTGGAAAAACCGGAAGCCCTGGCAGCTCTCATCCCACATTACCAGATGGTCCCCAAAGCCAGAGCTGGCCCTGAGCCTGGCAGCTCCTCCCGGATCACCACAGTCCCCACCAGCCCCTTTTGCCTCGCTGGCCTCGACATCACAACTCCACAGCATCCGACTTGGCACCCCTGAGACAGAGACAGTTTGATCATGTGGAAGAGCAGGGGGGACGGGGGGACAGTGCTGTAGGGCCCGGCAGGGGTGGGGCTCAGCCTCCTAGGCACGCAGAGAGCTATCCTGGGGGCCTGGGACTCAAGCTTCAAACATCCGGTCAGGCAACAGGCCCAGGCCAGGGGGCCGGGGGAGGCAGACGAGGCATCTGTCGTGTGTCCCAATGTGCCATGGGGCTGGCGGTCAGGCATGTCCCTGGACCTCTACGTGGCACTCACGACACCACTTCCAGGTTCCCAGCCTCTGGGAAACAGCTCCACTCAGCCCCTGCCAAAGGGGCAGCCTTTGGTAGTCGTATTCTGTGATAATAACAACAAAATAAATAACAGCCAACGCAGGCGAAGCCCATACCAAGCTGGATGCTCTGTGGGTTTCGTCACTGAAGGCGCACATCACTGTCAGACACCAAGACCTCGAGGGTACCCTTTCCCCAGCGTGCTGTTGATGGGAGCAACGGCCCTGGGGCCAGCCAGCCAGGGCTCAAGTGTGGCCCCACCACCTCCTAGCTGTGCGACCTTCTCGAGTGACCTTGTGCCCCGCGCTTCCTCAGCTTCCTTACCCAGGTTGCAGGGTGCCAGCCATGCTTGCTCTGTGGAGTCGCTCTGGGTGCCCTTGGGGCATCTCCTGGGAGGGAGAGCACGCTGGCTAAGTTCCATGATTGCCCTCATGTTTATTTATTTATTTTTTGGGGTGGGTACGTGGGCCTCTCACTGTTGTGGCCTCTCCCGTTGCGGAGCACAGGCTCCGGACGCGCAGGCTCAGCGGCCATGGCTCACGGGCCCAGCCGCTCCGTGGCACGTGGGATCTTCCCCGGACAAGCCCGTGTCCCCTGCATCGGCAGGTGGTCTCTCAACCACTGCGCCACCAGGGAAGCCCGATTTCCCTCATTTTATAGGTGTGCAAACTGAGGCTTTCACAGTAAGAGAGTGGCCTGGGGGCTGAGATGGGACCCCAGGGCTGCCCAGCTCTGGGCCGAGGCTCCTCACCAGAGCGGTGCGGCACTCTCTCCCACTCCGCCCACCTGAACTTCCGGGATGCCCTCCAGCCTCAGCTGGTCGTCCTCAAAGGGCACTGGCCTTAGAGAGTGAGTGCTCTCCCCTCCCCCACCAGCTCTTGTCCCTGCTCTGAGCCCCTCCCTCGCTTCCTCTCTCTAACCCACCCTGCCTGCACCTCCCGCCCCTGACACCCACCCACTCACCCTGGAAGTTCTGGGGGAGGGTCAGCAGGGTCCAGGGAAGGGGGCTTGGTGCACTGACTCACCATCTTGGCCTCATGCCATGGAACTTCTCCAAGGCAGAGGCCCCTTCCCGCTCCCCGCCCCCCGAGTCCCAGGGACCCTCCCTCCCCAATGTCCTGGCCAGTCCTGGCCGCTGCCTGCTCCCCTGCCAGGCCTCTGGCCATCCACCAGCCACCGGCCTCCCCGAAGGCAGAGGCTCAGACAGCGTCAGTCCGGGGTGAAATGTGGCCCGAGAAGCAATTTCCAGGGTATGGTGGGCTGGGCTGTGCGGGCACAGGGAAGAGGTCCCGCGCCGTGATTTTCTGTCTGTGCAGTAAATCCCCATGCGGAGGAGACTGGCTTTTCCTGGGCTGGTCCAGCTGGGCTGAGTTTATCTTTGATCCCACGGCGGGGCTGTCCACCAGCACCACGGTGTAATTCGTTCACTGCCCAAAGGCCCTGGGTGAGGGGTGAGGGGTGAGGGGTGAGGGGTGGAGCTAAACTCCAGGTCTCCCAGGCTGTGTGCTCCAGGGCCCCATCTCTCGTGCTTTGGGGACAGGAGCTTTTCTAAGTCATCCACTCAGAGGACACTCACTCTTTCCTGGTTTCCACGAAGGCCTCATGTGGCCTACAGCATCCCTGCCTGCACAGTATCAAAGCCCCAAAGGGAGGCTCAGAGAAAGGCCAACCCAGTCCAGGTGCCCCTCCCCCCCTCCCCATCTCCCTCCAGGACCTGCAGCAGCTCCTCTCTGGTCACCCTGCCTCTGCCCTGCACCCCATCTCCCAGACCTGGATGAATTTCCCAAAACGCAGAGCTGATGTGTCCATCTCTTAAAACCCTCCTATCAGAGGTTCCCTGCAGCCTTCCAGGTGAAGGCCAAACTTGCCATAATCCACAAGGCCCCACACACTCTGACCCCAGACGCCTGCTCAGTAGCAGCCCTCATGCCCTCACCTGGAGCTCCAGGCATACTGTCCCGGTGTCACACACAACCACACGGCATTCATGTCGACCCCAGGGCCTTTGCACATGCTGTGACTTCTGCCCACACCGCCTCATCGCCTCCTTCCTCATCCTTCAATCCCTGTTGCCATGGCCCTTCCTCTGAGAGGCCCGCCCTCACCCCTGCAGTTTAAATCCGGTCTTTCCGTGGTTCGCCTACACAGCGCTTCTCAGAAGCTGAACTGATATTTTTGTTAGAATTATTAAAGTCATCTCTGTCTCCTCCCTGGAATATACTTTCCATGAGAATAGAGTCAGTGTCTTTCTGACTCACCGTGGCAGCTCCAGTGCACACTCAGCGCCTGGCACACGGAAGCCCCTCGGCAAACAGTTCTCGATGAATGAGGCCCAATGCAGGCCAGCGGTGGTCTCAGGATTTGAACTAACTCTGCAGCCCCAGCTGCTTTCCTCTGTCCCCACTTCCTCCCAAACAAGGAGTCAGCACCTTGGAAGCAGCAGCTCTTCCCAGAGATGAGCCTCCCAGCGTGCCTTGTCATCAGGCCTGGCTGACGCGGAGGAAAGGCCATGAATCAAGTTGACGCTTCCATTACCTGAGGGAGTGTGTGGCCAGGATGGGTTGGCTTTGGTGCTGGTGGCGGGGAGGACAGCTCATCACAGCCACCAGCCGAAGAAGGCAGTCAACCCAGTGACCTCCAGAGGCCTGGACCTGCCCGCTAGCCCCCGGGCAGGGGAAGGACCATGGCCCCAAGGGCACCTGGGGAGAAAGGGGGTGACGTGAGCAAACAAGAGGGCAGAGCCTCATTTCAGGGCACGGGGCATGTGCAGTCACAGGTCCAGGGCTGTTACGTGTCCAGGGCCAGCACGTGCCCACATGAACGCGTGCTCAGGGCCAGTGGGAGCACACAGGCAAGGGTGGGTTAGCAGCTGTGCACGTACAAGTTGCTAACTCAAGCTTATACAATGTCGAGGTTGGCGTGTGCACACAAGCCCAGGGTGTGTGGCTACAGGCAGGCTGGGAGCAGGTGCCCAGCGCAGAACAGGCTGCATAAGAACTACTCTGGGCTGTGGGTCAGGCCAACCTATGGGGGTCAAGGTCAACATCCAAGGCCAACGGCCATTCTATCCATGGACAGACGGGTGGTCATTCTATCCATGTCTGCTCAGTGCAGGGTATGGAGCTGGGAAAGTTGTCCACCGGGGCGGGAGGAGGACGCCTTTGCCTCCCCATCCAAGCCTGTGTGTGCTCACCCAGGACCCCTGCTTTCAAACCAGGTGGTCCTTCCTCCTCCCAGGTTCAGACAGACAGTGTGGCATTTGCTCCCTGCAAGAAGACAACCCTTCCAGTAACTCTCAGTAGGGACTCATTGGGATCACTCACCTGGCCTGCCTGGAAGTGCTTCCTTTAATCTAACCTGCAGCCTTCTTGCTGCAACCTCTGTGAGACTGAAAGACAGCTACTTCTCCCCGCCGCCCAGCAGGTGCCGAAAAGGACTTGAAGCCTGAGCGGTCCCATGGGCCTCCTCCCTCCTCCCCGTCTCCCTCTCTGGCCTGAGCAGAGGGTAAGAATGGCCCTCGCTTGAGCCGTCCGCGTACCATAATCACATACCACTTCCACGATTATTTATTTAATATTTTTCTTTAAGCCAACGTTTTTCCTTTGAACTTAAATGCCTACTTTGGTTTCATCTTAAGCAATAACGTCTGTGAAATCATGGCACTAATGTGCCCGTTATACATTTTTTTCCTAATACACATTTACATAAACACAACTATTAAAATAGATTAAAATTTTTCCCATGTGCCAATGAAACTCATCTCCCGGACCTCTGTGGTCCACTTGTAACTTTGAAAGGATCCTGGGTGAGAATAAAGAGCTCCAAGGGGCCCTGGGCCAGATTTCCCTTTGGACACGCCCCTGCCCAGCCTCACTCTGCTGCTGTGGTTTTTTCTCGCCCAGAGGCCAAAGCCTGACCCTCTTGTCCTGACACTCAAAGCCTTTTTATTTGGGTCCCAGTCTGTCTCCCAGACCCAGCTCCCACCCCTCACGGTAGGTCTGCAATATTTACTGGATGAATGAATCACTGACTTAACAGCTGCATGAATGAATGAATGAATAGCACACACCTCCACCTGGTGTCCCCCAGGCACCTGAGACTCAACACATCTGACCCTGCCCCCGCCTCCCGCAGCCCATAACCTGAGAGTCATCGCTGACTTTCCCCTCTCCTCCCCCCACATCGGCCTATCTTCCCTGCTGACTAGCTCCTGAATCTGCTTTCAGTGTCCCATCCCAGGGCCTCCGTGCTGAAGCAGCCCACCCTCTTCTCTCCCTTCAGGTGTGGTGAGGGTGAGGAAGGGGCCCGTCCTCCCGCATCTGTTCTCTGTCCAGAGCTGCGGGGACCTTCCTGGAATGCACAGCTGGGCGCTTCCCACTCTGCTGAAAGCATCCCCTGCTGCTCCATCCTGAAGAGGCTTCAGAGTCCCTCTGGCTCCACCGACCTCTGCTGCCACATTTCTCATCACCTCCGTTGCTCTCCCTTCTCTCCGCACCTGCCATCTAGACTATCCTAAAGTTCCTATAATGTTCCCAACTTTCTTCCCCTCTACATTTTTGCCTGCCCAACATCTAGACAACTTCATGTCTCAGCTTAAACGTCATTTTCCCACAGGAGCCTCCCCTGACCACCCCCCCCCCAGGAAGCAGGTGCTGCCTCTGGGCTCCTGCAGCGCCCCCCCCCAGTTCCCCTCATTGAGGTGACAGCAAACACCAACAGTGTTTGTGTGCCAGGCTCTGTTCTAAAAGCTTCGCATACATTCCCTCCTTTAACCCTCAGAATAGTTTTAAGAGGTAGGTGTGCTGATGACCCCCATGTGCCCACGGGGTTGAGGCACAGAGAGGTCAGGTAACTTGCCCAAGGTCTCAAGTGGAGGAGCTGGGATCTGAATCCAGGCTGCCTGGTCCCAGAGCACTTCGCGCACTGCCCTATATAATCACCTGTCTAGTTATGTGTCCTGCCCACCTGTGAGCTCTGTGAGGACACACGCCCTCTCTGGATGGTTCAGTATCCTGTCTCGAGCGCCTACCACAGTGCTCGGCACATAGTAGGGGCACAATGAATTAGATCATTGGATAGATGGATACACAGATGGATGGATGGTTGAATAACGAGGATGGGTGGTGCATGAAAGGATGATGGATGGATGTCTGATACAAGGAAGAAAGACCACTGATGGGTGGATAATGGATGAATGGATGGGTGGCTGGCTGGCTGGCTGGATAGGTGGATGGATGGATGGAAAATGGATGATGGATGGTTGGATGACGGGTTTATGAAAGAATGAAAAACATTCTCTACTTGAGGGAAAGCTCTAGAAATCCTTCTGGGAAGGGATGAGGCCTCTTGGAGTCAGGGGTCCTGGTTCAAACCCTCACCTGCCGTTTGCTAGCTCTGTGGTCTTGGGCAAGTTACATCATCTCTGTGATCCCAGGTTCCCTCGTCTTCACAATAGGAATGTTTCCCCAGTCACCTAAGCCTTAAGATTCCATGTAAATGTGGCTCTAGACACAGGGTAAAGGGTCCCTGTGGGAGGCAGGGTAGCTTAGTGCCTGGGTTTGAGGGCCTGTCTCTTGTCCACCCAAATCTCCCACCTGCCCGGCCCCCACCTCGCCCACCCTCTGGAATCCAAGGCAGCCTGCCAGCCTGGCTCCATCCTGACCCCACCCCCCAGACCTAGCCTCAGCTCCAGGTTCCCCACTTTGCCCCACCCGCCCATGCATCAATGTCTGGCCCTGACCAGCACACTCAGGGCCATCTCATCTTCAGGTTCCTTAGGGACCTGATGGGGGGGCCAGGAGGGGGCAGCCACGCCCCAGAGAGCAACTGGCCTCCACACACGGCAAGGAAACAGATTCAACAAGCATTTATTGAGCCCTTGCTGTGTGCCTGCTGTGTGATGCCCCTGGTGCCACCGCCACTGCCCCTCCTTCAGGAAGCCCCACCCATTCCCTGCCCCCCGCAGGGCTCTGCACACTGGGGACCTCCTGAACTTCCCGGCTGGCTCGTGGGTCCCAGGTTTTTGGTGGCCGAGGTCTGTGTCTCTCCCGGCATCCCAGCTGCACCCAGCAGGGCTCTGCATGTGGCGGTGGCGAGAGTTAGGAGTTGCTGTCCCGGAGTCCCTCTGGCTGCCCTGGCCCCGTTTCCAGGACCCTGAGACCCAGGCAGCTGCGGGCAGGGCAGGCCACATGTGTCCCACACAGGCCAGGTTTCCAAAGGCGCCAGACCAGTGGTCTTGCAGCAGGGGGCTGGTGCCGATGACGGCCCGAGGTCTGGAGCCAGGCTGGTCGCTGTCACACCCAGTGCCCCAGGACCCAGCACTGGCGGTTCAGCTCTGGCACCTCCTGTGCAGAGCTCCGGGGCCAGGAATCTCCCATGTGTGGCTGGTATCCTGCAGAGAGACGGCGTGGTCAGTGCCAACGGCTGCCTTCCTCCACCCCCACCCCATCGGCCCACCGACCCCCACCAGCTCCCCACCCACCCATCTATCAAGCTACACCCAGCTCTCTACCCACCGTCCCACTCACCGTATCACCATCCGCCCACCCAGCTCTCCACCTCTGCCACGCCCCCATCACCCACCTCTCTGTCCACCGGTCCACCAACACCTAGACATCCACCTGCCAGTATCCGCTGCCATCCACTCACCAACCCACCAAGATATCCACCATCACTCACACACGATCCCCCCAGGAGCCTGCCACAGCCCTAGAACCCACTCAGGCATCTCCCACCTCTCAACACACCATACGCCCGCCATTGCCTCATCCAGCCTCCCAGCACCCCATAATACTCCCACCAGCCTGGCTTCCCACACACACATCTACCCATAACCTGAGACATCCACCCATCCGGCCACCCAGCCGCTCTCCAACTCATCCGGTTACTCATTTGCTTCCCAAGCTGCCAACACACCCACTAACTCATCAAGTCTCTACCCCTTAACTCACCAACATACCCATCCAACAATCCCACACTGCCCCACCACCAACCCTGCACACCCACCTGCCCTGACATTCACCCACCCCACTCAAGCCATCCACCCACCAACTTTCCATCCCCCCCTTCACCTACCCACAGCCTCACCTGCCCCCCAGCCACCCACCCTGTCAGGCTTCCCTGGGCTCCGCTGTGGGCTCCCACGTGCTCGAGGAGCTGTGGGAGGGTTAGAAGGAGAACAGTGTAGATGACTCCTGGGCCCCAATTGTACTTGACCTCAGGCCAGCGAGCAAGTACGTGGACGTCCCAAAGCCGGCCCTGAGCAGCTCCCTGGGCCGAGACGTGGGGCAGAGACTCTACCGCCTCCCACTACGGCCCTCTGCTCTTGACGGCCTGGGCAAGCACAGGGGCTGGGAGGCTCGACTGATCCAACATGCTCACTCTTCTGTTCTTGATTCTCGGAAGCTCGCTCCCCTGCCTTCACCCAAGCACCTCCTTCATGTCTTCCTAACACACCAGACCCATTTCCATCTCCAAGCTGGGACCTGCCTGAAATGCCCTTGTACCTACTGCTGAATTGAACACTCAAAGCCCAGCTCAAGTTTCTCCTCCTACAGGAAGCCCTCCGGACATCCTCTCTCCAGCCTCAGGGGTCTCCCTCTCTTGGAGCATCCACTCCAAGTGGTGCTCTGTCAGCAACACCCCCAGCATTAGACAGCCCAGCAGAAAAATGGCTCAACCCCTGGAGAATATTCCATGGTGAATCAATGGAGCCAGAAAGATAAGAACAAAGGGATCACAGGGAGGAGAGACTGCGTGGCATGGTGGGTGGGACTGGCTCAAAGGGCAAAGGGGAAAACTAACAGCGACAGAGTGCTTATAGTCTACACACCCTGCTAGGTTCTGTCCTCGCAAGCCTGAGCCCATTTTACAGATGAGGAAACTGAGACTCAGCCAACATAAGCAGCTGCCTTAGGATTCACAGCTACAGGCCTGCTGGGTTGAATCAATTTCTTCCTGATTCGAAACTTCAGCATTAAAAGAAATGTGTTCTCTGTTCGTTTGCTTCCCCCTCCGAGCTCTAAAGGATGCTCAGATATACTTCTCATCCTTTAGGGTCAGACATCCTTCAGAGCAAGCCCCTTGAGGTGGGAATTCCTGCTGAAGCCAAGCGGCTGCTTACACTCCTCCAAGGACAGACAGCTCATCACTCTTCCTCCACCCCCAAAGTAGCTCTGACTATTGGGAGATTCTTCCCCATAACAAAGGCTGGAAGGGAACAGGCAAAGATGGGGATGGTTGTACCAATGGTGGGGAGTGTGCAAGCGTGATTTTTTTTTCCTTTGGCGTTTCTTCTATTTTTAATATTCTTTAATGTTGGTGCTTTGCTAATTTTACTGTATTTTAAAAAGGGGTGGGAAACATTTGCCAAACATTCTGGAATCGTTTGGCCTCAGGAAAAACGTTTGTTTTGGCCCCAGTCACTGAAACAGTTGCATTCTTTGGAAGTTCCTGCTGCCAAGATATAGGTGTTGGGATTTTTTTTTTAAATCTAAAAGCAAATATTTGGTGCACAGAAAGCCTTGATTGTTTTTCTAAATGAGTATTTAGAAATGATTGTAGCTGCTTACCGTTGCCAACAGGCAGAACCTTGGAGAGTTTGTTGGAACAGAGAGAAAGTGATCATGTGATTTTAAGGAAAAAGAAGGGCCATGATCCTTATCCTTCTGTGAGTCAAAATCAGGTCAATTCGCTGATGACTGGGGTCCTCCTCCCTTCTCTAGCCTCCCAGGAGGGGCTTGGGGCCCAGAGCCATTTACAGTGAGGGGAGCCCTGACCTCACCATACACCCTACAGCCCACCACGACTCCTCACTCACTTCCCTTCTCCTGGTTCCTTTACTTTGGGGCCAGTCACCAGCCAGGAAAAAAGAAAAAGCCTTATGCTATAAATCAGAGAATCCCACCTCAAAATGCCTACTGGCCCAAGCAAATGACGTAATTGGGTGAAGTGGCCAGAAGCAGCCTTTCCTCAGCTTTGGTTAACTGTTGCCGTGGGGAATGTGGGCTCTGATCTCCCAAAATGATCAGAGAAACTGAAAATTGGGATTTTGAAATCAAATCTCCTGGCTTTTAAATGATGACAACTAAGGCTTTTAAAGCATTTAAAACCGTCTGTGGGCCAAACAGCATCTCTCAGCCTCGACTCAGCCCACAGGGGGCCATTTCTGACCTCTGACTACTTCCCGGCCGGCGTCTTTGTCCCATGACTCCGGAGTCTCCCCAGCTAACCTGGGGACTCAGTGCCGTCAGGGACTGGGTCTGCTTCATTCCAGAGCCCGCAGCCCCCAGCACCTGGCTGGGCACAGAGCGTGTCCTGAGCTGACTTTTTATAACAAATGAAGAAACCATGCGGGAGGAGAAGGAGCGACCCCTGAGCTGGAGGCATGTGCTCGGCCCACCCTCCCTGAGATTCTGTACATTTGAGAGTCTCTTTGCTAGCCTCTCCTCCTTTGGGTACAGAGTCAGGGCAGGGAACTGTATTGGAGTCTGATAGTCAAAAGGTTCAAATCCAGGCTCCACCACTGACAAGCTGAGTGAACCTATTTTTTTTTAAAGCTGTGTGACTTTTGACAAGTAACTTCACCTCTCTGGGCCCGCAAATGGATGTTAGTTACAAAGGAGTCAGCAGACCCTGCAGGCCCCTTGCTAGAAGCCTTTCATTATGTGACATCAGAGAGATGTGAAAATTTAAAAATGCCAGTATAGAGGGGGTTTGGGTTCACCCACCTCTCTTCACAGATGAGGTGGCCAAGGCCCAGAGGTGGGAAGAGATCTATCCAAGGTCTCACTCAGAGGGTTGGCAGCAAGTACTGTGCTTCAAATTCCCTTGGAACCTCCCAGGCTTAGCAGAGTATTCAGCCCATAGGAGGTTCTCAGAAGATGTGATTTATCTTCCATTTTTGGTCCAAATATCAAACATGCAGTTTTTTAACATTCAGCCTCTTCCAGTCCTGACATCTCAATCCCTCAGTGGGAAATCACTGTCTCAAACTCTCTCCAAGGCACCAAGATCCCGGGAGATCAGCTCTCAGCTCTGCTGAATTGTGTGAAATCACATCCACTGTTCCAAAATGGATTCAGTGGGTTGGAAGGGTCCTTCAAGACCAAGAGCGGCATCACAGATGTGCAGAGAAATGGGGGTGATCACAGGGGAAGTGACTTGTCCAAGGTGCTCCAAAGGCAGTAGGGGAATTAGTGAGGGTGGGCAGGCGGCTGGTATTGACGTTCTTGACCCCAGAGGAGCTCAGCCTATCACAGAAGAGCCAGATGGACCCTCTCCACCAGCTGTCCAAGGTACTGAAGAACTCTCTCCAGGACTCATGGGCCCATCCAGAGCCTACTGTCTGGCTGCCCAACCTTGAACTCTTATCTCTAGAAAGACTTGGGATGTGGGGAGAGATGGGGAGATGAATCAAGGTTGGCACTGAGATGTCTGGCTTTGGAGACCCTTCCAGCTAGTGACACCATCATCCCTCTTCCATTGCCGCCCTGACTGCCTCTCCAAGTCAACCCTGCTCTGTAAATCTGCATGCTGAGGGCGCTTCAGAAACTCCATCATATTTGGTAATATCTGTTTACTTGTTTCCTCCCGTTTTCCTCTTCTAGGCTGTATGTAACATGAGGACACAGGCTAGCTCTGCTTTTATTCATCGCTGTGTCCTTGGCACCCAGCACAATTCCACACACAGTGCTGAGAGAGCAGATTTGTTGAATGAATACGATGGAGGATTTGGGAAGGATTTGTGTGGGATCCATGTGGAGGGGAAGGTTGGGTTTTCTGGTTTACCTTGGGGATGGGTTATCTCCTAGGAGATCGAATGGGTGTCTCATCCCTCTCTTCACTAAAGTCCATCTGCTGGGGACTCCTTACTGGGCCATAACGTTCTCTCCATCTCTTTCCCACACTCGGGATCAGGCTGAGTCCATTGAACCTGCCACCTCTCCCCAGAGCCATTGATTCCTTCATTTCCTCATTTGTTGAGCACCTACTGTGTGTCCGCCTCCATCTGGGTGCTGGGTCTGCAGACAGGAGTCAGATGCAGACCTGTCCTCTGGGTGCTCACAGTCTAGTGAGGGGAAGAGATGACAAGAGCAAACATGCCTCCAGCTCTCACTGTGTCAGGAGCCATTCACCGTGCCTCGTGTTCACTGGCTCATTTAATCCTCAGAAATGGGAGTTAGGTGCCATTACTATGCCCATTACACGGATGAGGAAACTCAGGCTCAGACAGGTTAAGTGGCTTGTCCAGGGTCTTACTGCTGGGATTTGAACCTAGGCAGCCTCACTCCACAGGCTGGACTTGTAACCACTATAAAATTCTCCCTCATCTACTCGAGCGCCAGGGGAGGGAAATGCAGATGTGAGCACACCACCTCCGCTAGGGGCTGG